GAACAAACACGTTTGTGGTACAAAAAGTTAAAACATTTCAGCAAGAAGCTACAGGACATGCACAACTTGGGCATGAAACAGTAGGTCCACCTCAAAAGCTTTGAAGGTTCAAACAGTATTGAAAGCAAGGAGTCATGTGGCCAGTGCCTCCCAGCTGCAACAGAAACAAGGTGATCTGAATCTCTCCAAAAGGGCAATTTTAAAGCTTGCATCCTTGCTGATCCAAAGACTGCATGATCCTTTTCATAAGGAAACCAAGTTTGGAAGTCATCTTCATTTTACTGCCAACAAATGAAGACTTATTGGATGAAACTCTGTGAGTAAAATATTCACTTATTTGTAAAGCTAAGTGTCTGTTATTTATTCTAGCCTAAGTATTTTCATGGGGAACATTTGCTTAAAGATGGATGAGGACAGCTGCAGAATCTTACCATGTTTAAATATCCTTGGAGCAATTATCATTGTGCTTAACTCTGCTATGAAAGAGGTAGAAATATCTCTTCCAAACCTTTCTCTCCACCAAACCCTTCCCCAACCTGGTGCCTTCCAGATGTTTTGGAATACAACTCCCATCAGCCCCCAACATCATACAGTCATGTCGGCTGTGACTGCTAAGAATTATAGTTCAAAAAGTCTGGAGGCCATCAGGTTGGTGAAACCTAATATACATGATTCTTCTAGTGCAGTACCCAGCTCAGAAAGGATGGTTGCTAGACCTGTGTCGTTAATTTTTCTATTTGAGCAGGTACTTCCGTGATGTTTTCTGTTTCTGTGCTTAATTTTAATAGATCTTATCCATTGCATGCTTTTTAATTTTTATGTATACCATTTAGAAGCTTTGGTAATTAAGTGATGTGTAATAGCTTAAATAAACAAACATTGTTAAAGTTACATACAAAGAATGCTCTGAAAATGTGTAGCTTAGAGGGGGTAGCTATTTAATCCTGCCCATGTCCCAGAGAATATCTCAAAACCTTGCTGCAACAACTGAAATATATTTGCATACACCCACAACTGCAAAATCTTTATGGAATTCCTCCTTTTCCTTGACTTCCCCGGATTCTATAGCCAAGGAGCTTCTGACACTGTGGTATGTACAAAAAAAGTGAGCCTACTTTCTTGGTTCAGAATATGCAGATTTAAGACAGCTTCATTTGCATACCTTGTTCTGATTGCAGAATCCACATTCTCTTGGTGCAGAATTTTGTTGGAGGAATTTTGATGTGTACATAGGGAAATATACCCTCACCATAAGCTACTACTTGAACATTTGCAATGGATGGCCTCTTTCCCTCACTCTTCCACCTCTCGCCAGTTTGGGAATGTGCTTTATTTTTATTTTATTTCTGAGCCATAAATCTTAAACCACCTCTCTCCTCCCAAAACCTGCTGCTGCCACTTCCATAGTTACTGAGGAGGAAAAGGAAGGCACTTGGGAGAGAGTCAGACCAGTAAAGATTCACACAAGACTGAGCACAGGGTTGGAAAGAACAGCATCCTTGGAGAATGCAGGCACTGTTTCTGCCTGGCAAGTTCTAGGGAACTTGCAGCTTTAAAATCATGCATTTTCCCCATGGTTAAAAAAGAAGAGGCAGTGATAGAAAATGGACATCTCCACTCCAACTAAGAGTTGCAATCCTATCTCAAAAACTCCCATGCAACACACGTTTTGACATTCCAAAGATTTTTGCCCTTCGGCTTCTCACTTGTCAAAAAAAAAAAAAATTCCACAGTGGCCAAGTTGGGGGGGGAGATGGCAGAACCTGATTGGCTGTTGCACAATGAAATCAATTGACTGTACATGATTTGGAGGCCAAAGGTTAAGGAACTGCCAACCCCAGGCTTCCTCAGAGGAGGAGCCCTTGATTGACAAGGACTATAAGAATCTATAAAGTTGCACTTAAGTCATAGAGGGCAGAAATACTCTCAAGTGCAGACGCTGGTAGACCTTGAATAATAATCAGAGTAATGCCTCTAGTCCTCATTGTTCCAGAGAAAAATCTGAAGATATGCTAATATTTATTGCTAGTTTAGATGCCAAAGAAGTATGTAGAAGCACATGACTTGACACACTTCTGCATCTTTCTACCTGGTTCTCAGTTCTTGTTTTGCTCACTTTATTTTTTGATTCCCATAGGAACACAGAAAGCTGCCTTCCACCAAATCAGACCATTGGTCCATCCAGCTCAGAATTTTTTGCACCAAGTACTCCAGGATTTCAGACAGGGTTCTCTCGCACTTGTACCTGGATAACTTGGGTCCAGCATATGTTAGAAACATTTTATCTCCTCTTGATCATTGAGATCATCTGTAGGAGCATCTCTGATCATCCTTGGAGTCAGTGAGGCTCATCAACAGGAATTCAAGTTTTCAGTGTCATCAACTCAGTCTTGTGGAATACTCTGTGATAAGAGTTTCAGCCCGTGACTTCTGCTTCAACCCTTAAATGTTCTCTGAAAACTTTTCTATGCCACAAGCTTTATGAAGACAATTGAGAAAACATCTGCTGCAATAGCTCATTTTACACGGTTTTCAAGTGTGTGTGTGTGTACACACACACATACACACCTAGAACCATAGAATTGTAGATTTGGAAGGGACTTCAAGGCACATCTGGTCCAACACCCTGTAATGCAGGAATTACACCTAAATAATCCCTGACAGATGGTCATCCAACCTCTATTTAAAAACCTCCAAAGAAGGAGAGTCCATCACCTCTCATGGGAGTCCATTCTACTGGCAAACAGCTCTAAGTTCTTCCTAATACAGTGGTACCACAGGTTACAGACGCTTGAGGTTACAGACTCCGCTAACCCAGAAATAGTACCTCGGGTTAAGAACTTTGCTTCAGGATGAGAACAGAAATCATGCGGCGGCAGCAGGAGGCCCCATTAGCTAAAGTGGTGCTTCAGGTTAAGAACAGTTTCAGGTTAAGAACAGACCTCGAGAACGAATTAAGTTCTTAACCCGAGGTACCACTGTATTTAGTTAGAATCTTTTTTTTTCATGTTTAGAATTCATTAGTGGCAGTTCCTACCCTCTGGAGAAGCAGAAAACCTCCCCCCCCCCCATCTTCCATTAGATAGCCTTTTAGATACATGTAAACCACTTCAATATTTTTTTAATGGAATTGTGGGATACAGGTACTGAAATCAATCAATCAATCAATCAATCAATCAATCTGCCCCACACATGAGCCCGGTGCGAAATCCATACACCTTGAACTAAATAATTCTGAGCCCAGGTATTTGTTCTGACTGTCAGAACTAAAAGGAGCTAACAGCCTTTCTGCAGTAAAATCCGCTCCTGGTTACCCCAAGCTTTCCTCCATTCAGCAGTATTAATTGCAGTGGTGGTAAGGAATCATTTTGTTACTGCTATTGTGAGAAATTTGAAAGTTGGCAAATCCTTGCTGATCTGCAGCAAATCACCCAGAAATCTGCTAGCAGACTCAGAGCTATGTTCTGCTTGACCTTGTTGTGGAAACACATAAATCCATTGATTTCAGACTTTAAAAAAAACATACTGGCAAACTACCAATACCCTTTTCTGTTTTATTGAGTACCTTCTTGTCTTCTCTATGTTTGTAATTGTATTTTTGTTTTAAAAATATAAGTTCTTCAAGTGAATCACAACATGAATTTCTCCTTTCTTTGCCAACTTACAGCTGCAAAGGAGAGCTTCTTCCCATCTTCCTTTGTTTTTTGTTATTTTTCTCTTGCTGCTTACAGAATTCCAAAATATAGAAGACCCCCGAGAAAATATAAACAAGTGCTTTGAAAATGCCATTTGCATCAGCCTAATTAAGCTTCGCTCTCTCTTCCCGTCTCTAGTCTCAAACGTGCAACAGATTTCGTCTACTGGGAGAGTGCATTGTTTGTGGAATTTGTGGGTGCTCTTAAGGGGGAACAGTAAGAGTGTTTCACCCAAATAACTTACATTGTCTCTCTTCTAATCATAGAGAAAACCAAATAGCTCATGCTGGCTATGTGCCCAGTATAAGCACACTGGTTTCAATGGAATAATTAAGCTCTTGTTTAAGGGTATATTAATTTATGGCATAGGATCCCTTCCTGGTTGAAGAACACATGGTTATATCTTATCTCAACCACATTCAGAGTAGATGCACTGAAATAAATGAACACAGCTAACTTGGGTCCATTAATTTCAGTGGATCTACTTTGAGCAGGACTTAGTTGCATATAACCTATAATAAGACAGCAAGAGCAACTACCGTATTTTTTGCTCTATAAGACTCACTTTTTCCCTCATAAAAAGTAAGGGGAAATGTGTGTGCGTCTTATGGAGCAAATGCAGGCTGCGAAGCTATCCCAGAAGCCAGAACTGGGCCAAGTTCAAGGTGTTGCTATTAGTATATAAAGCCCTTAACAACTTGGGACCAGTTGACCTGCAAGGTTGCCTTGATGCCATGTGCACCCACTCAACTGACTGGTGCCACATAATGCCTTCTCCACATTTGTAAGAACTTGGCACCTAAATTTTGGAGCCTATTGAGATGAAGCAGGTGCCTTTACTGTACTCTGTTCAGTGCCTGAAAACAAGACAAGCCTACCCAGGTTCTTAGGAAGTTGAGGCATTTTTAACCTTGTTTTTAGTATTTCAACTTTTTGTATGTTTTTAAGTATGGTCGTGAATTCCCCACCCCACCCCGTTTTATTGTTTGATCTTCTTGTAAACCGCTTTGAGGCTGTTTACAATCAAGCAGCATATAATTTTTGCAAAATAAGTAAATAAAATAAATAGTAGCACCCAAAAAAATAATAAAATAAAAAGAATTCCACACAAATTTAGCTATGGAAAATGTATTATTTTGGTTGCAGTCTTATGCTTGTTTAGCTGGTAAAAAGCCCAGGTTTAATTCTATAGGGTGCCTGTAAACATGTATAACCTTTTGCTTTAGATTCAGGTTGGTAGCAGTGTTGGTCTGAAGCAGTCAAAATAAATAAATAAAATAAAAAATTGTCCAGTAGCACCTTAGAGACCAACTAAGTTTGTTCTGGTTATAAGCTTTCATGCGCATGCACACTTCTTCAGATACCTTTTCAGATGCACACAAAAGCTTATAACCAAAACAAACTTAGCTGGTCTCTAAGGTGCTACTGCACATTTTTTTTAATTTTTTAATTTATGTCTTTTGGTTTAGGTTCATTCCATGCCATACTAACAACCACTATGGCCAGGAACATCATTTATGTGGCTCAGAATGGGGGGAGGGGGGTACACTGGACCCTTCGAAAGTTAAGTCATTTTGTGCATAATGATCTGTTGCCTATAATGTTAAGCTGCATCATTCATTCATTTCCTCATCACCCCAGACGTACACACTTTCCACAACTCTCCTGCTTTAGCAAGGCAGCATCGCAGTGTGAGACTCATTTGGTCTCTCAGCATCTGCAAACCAACTGCCTCCATTCAGCCTGCGTGTCTTGACAGTGGCTGGCCTAATGCCTTCAGAACTGTTGAGCTGACATCCTTGGCTGCTTTTCTACTCCAGATGCCTTGGTGATGTGTCTAGGGGCAGACACTGAAGCATCGCAAGCTAGGTAGGAAAATGGAAACCACATTCAGTCGCAGCACTGGGTAGTTCTGGTGTGGAGCAGAAGGTTTCAAAGCACTGACAGTTGCCATGTTGCTCATGGGCTCTGAAAAAGAGGGGTAGTCCCATTGTGGGGTGCCATTGGCTTTGTCAACAAACCCTTTCCAAATTAATAGTTCAGCTTGAAATAAGAGTAAGGCTATACCTGTGAGCACTTCAATTGGAGAACAGCCTTTACCAAAGGTGTTGACTTTGAAGAAGCACGAACTCAGGACAAAAAGGAGAAACAAGCTAAGAGGAAGACACGTTTGGCAAACTCTCACCACGATCAACTCCCACCCGGAAACCTATGTCCCCACTGTGGAAGGACGTGTGGATCCAGAATTGGCCTCCATATTCACTTACGGACTCACTGTTAAAACCGTGTTTATGGAAGACAATCTTACTCGGGTACAAGTGATTGCCAAAGAAGAAGAAAGAATACCTTTAATTCACATTGGAAACACATTTCCCTCCCCCCACCCAAAGTATTCTGGGCACTGTAATTTTAAAAATGTTCCTGTGAACTGTAACTCTGACTAGGGTAAGCTTTGTACTACGGGAGCATTAATTCATGCAGGGTATGTTTCAAGGTGATGCATCTGGCCCATTCATAAAACCTCTTCAGGCAGTGGTATAGTGGTGGAAGGGTCATAGATCGAAGGCACAGCATCTGGTTTGCATGCAGAAGTTCTCAGAAGTCCCTGGCATCTCTAGGTAGATGCAATCAAAAGGACCATCCTTGGAGGGAAACGGATTCAAAATCTTCCCTCCGATAAAGGCCACCCACCACAAAATATCACTCTACTGATGTCCACTGGCTGGTGACACCAGTTTGCAGATGGCACCAACTAGGAAGGGTAGCCAGTACTACTGAAGACAGAATTCAATGTGACCTTAAAAGATTGGAGAACTGGGCCCAAACTAACAAAATGAATTTCAATAGAGACAAAAATCAGGTTCTAGGCTTAGGCAGGAAGAACTAGATGCACAAATGTAAACTGGGGGACACCTGGGTTGCCAGTAGTACATGTGGAAAGGATCTAGGCGTCTTAGTAGATCACAAGCTTCACATGAGTAAACAGTGTGATGCAGCAGCAACCCCCCCCCCCAAACTAATGCTATTCCAGGCTGCAACAACAGACATATAGTGTCCAGATCAAGGGAAATAATAGTACTGGTCTATTCTGCCTTGGTCAGACCACACCTGGAGTCCTGTGTCCAATTCTGGACACCACAATTTAAAAAGGATGTTGACAAGCTGAAACGTGTGCAGAGGAGGGTGACCAAGATTATTAAGGGTCTGGAAACCATGCTTTATGAGGAACGGTTGAGTGAATTTGGTGTGTTTAGCCTGGAAAAGAGGAGACCGAGAGGAGATATGATTTTGTTGTTGTTTAGTTGTTTAGTCGTGTCCGACTCTTCGTGACCCCCTGGACCAGAGCACGCCAGGCACTCCTGTCTTCCACTGCCTCCTGCAGTTTGGTCAGACTCATGCTGGTAGCTTCAAGAACACTGTCCAACCATCTCGTCCTCTGTTGTCTCCTTGTGCCCTCCATCTTTCCCAACATCAGGGTCTTTTCCAGGGAGTCTTCTCTTCTCATGAGGTGGCCAAAGTATTAGAGCCTCAGCTTCAGGATCTGTCCTTCCAGTGAGCATTCAGGGCTGATTTCCTTCAGAATGGAGAGGTTTGATCTTCTTGCAGTCCATGGGACTCTCAAGAGTCTCCTCCAGCACCATAATTCAAAAGCATCAATTCTTCGGCGATCAGCCATCTTCAGATATCTAAAGGCCTGTCACATGGCAGACAGAGCAATCTTTTTTCCTCCTGCTCTGGAGGGTAGGGCCTGAACCAATGGATTCAAGTTATAAGAAAGGAGAAAGGGTGAACTTTCTGACAGTAAGAACTGTTCAACAGTGGAACGGACTCCCACAAGCGGCAATGGACTCTTCTTCCTTGGAGGTTTTTTAACAGAGGTTGGCCACATCTGCCAAAACATCTGGACGCTTAAGTTGAGATTCCTGCATTGCAGGGTTTGGATTAGATGACCCTCGGGGTCCCTTCCAACTCTACAATTCTATGATTCTATGGTGTGGGTCCAGGAAGGACTGAGCATCCTTCAGCTCATCCTGTTCTGACTCCGAAGGGAAGGAAATGACATTTCAGTTAAAAGAGCCAGCCAAGCAGCTGAAGCAGATAAACAGGAGTGAAAAGGGTTAAGTGTCTGTCACAATAAAAGCCTCAGGAGCACTTGACCTTTTAACATCCTTTCTCCCCCCTCCCCCCTTTGAGAATCTGCATTTTGAGGTTGTTTGGGGTGGTTCCTTTTATATGCTCCTGACTCCTCAGCTTGGTGGAATTGTCTTGTTAGCTGAGTAGCATCTCTGCCCAACCCAAACTATGTTCTTGCTACCTCTAACAAAAGGGGTGGAAAGAAACATTAATTTAGGAAACACATGACATTTGCAAACCTGTTTTTCTCTGTATGGTAAAGATGGAGGGCACTTCCAGGGGAAAGTGTGCAGAGACAGGGAACACTTAACTTTCTCTCCCCCCACCCACCTCAGTGTCAGTCACAAGATTCTCCTTGCAAATATTTCTTCAGACTGGTTTACCAATTAAGCACACCAACACTAGCAGAAATGGTTTTACAGCGATCTGCATGGTAAAAACCAACAGGAAGAGGAAATGTTTGTTGAACTCCATGTTCACCACTTCTATTCCAACCATCCTCCGAAGTGTTTGGGCATCATACTTGGTTCTGTCCCCACCATTTTATCCACACAACATTCCTGTGAGCAGGGCTTTCTTTCTTCAGCTGGAACTTGCTGGAACTGAGTTACAGCACCTGTCAGGTGGGCACCATTGCCATTCTAAAAGAACGAGGGAGGTGTTCATGGTGAGTTCTGGCACCTCTTTTTCCAGAAAAATAGCACTGCCTATGAGGTAAGGTAATGGGACGAGGGTAGCGCTGTGGGTAAAACCTCAGCGCCTAGGACTTGCCGATCGCATGGTCGGTGGTTCGAATCCCCGCGGCAGGGTGAGCTCCCGTCATTCGGTCCCAGCTCCTGCCCACCTAGCAGTTCGAAAGCACCCTTAAGTGCAAGTAGATAAATAGGTACCGCTTTATAGCGGGAAGGTAACGGCGTTTCCGTGTGCTGCTCTGGTGCCGGTTCGCTGGAGCAGCTTCGTCACGCTGGCCATGTGACCCGGAAGTGTCTGCGGACAGCGCTGGCTCCCGGCCTCTAGAGTGAGATGAGCACACAACCCTAGAGTCTGTCAAGACTGGCCTGTACGGGCAGGGGTACCTTTACCTTTATGAGGTAAGGCCAGGTTAAAAGAGGGGAAGGTAGGGAATAAGAGAGGTTAAAGGAGAGTAGTGAGCTTTTTGTGCCAGGCTTTTGAACCTGGGTCTCCAGTGCTGTTTCTTCCTCCCTCCTCATCCCTGTTTTCTTGTGTGTCATGTCTGACACACAATTGCAGAGAAATTGTCTGAACCCACATTCAGTGTTTTGTTGAAAGCCTGATTCAGACACCCACCTGAAAGTCGGAGGGGGAAGAAATTATTTGTTTACTACAAGTGAAGGAAAGAGACACTCCTTTCTTTTCCTTAAAGCATCCGATGGCAAAATGTCTTTGGGGCTGTAGAAGGGTGTACATCAGCCTCCCACCAAAACCACCTTGGTGCCTTCAAGACCTTTTGGAATACCACTTTCCTCAGCCCCAGCTCTGTGGTTCAAAACACCTGAAGGGCACCAGGTTTGTTAAGACTAGTGTAGAATACATTTGCATGGTAACATTATAGATTCGGGCGCTACAGCTGTTAGCATCTGTCTATATTAAGAGACAATGGAGTGCACACCTGATAGCAAAGCCAAAACTACTGCATCAGCAGAACCTAACTGACCTCTCTGGGGTACAAGCCTGGGCAGTGTGTGTGGAGATCCTGGGCTGCCCAGATGACAAGACTCTTGTCCTCACTGAAGTGGTGCAAACAAAAGCAGAGCAATACCTTTGGCACCAGCTTGGCTGCAAAAGTTGCCCGAAGGAGGGATGCCAGGTGCCATCCAACCGCCTTAGGGACTCCACTCCGGATTTGTGTAGGGTTTACTCCTGAAGCTTTTCTAACAAATGAGTATAGCCACAAGACAGTGAAGGTTTAGGATCTGAGTTTGCATGCAGGGGAGGGCCCTAACTTACTGAAGGTTTGAGACCCATCGGCTACCTGGTTTAGCTGGCCAGTTGAAGCTGTTTCCTGGGATGTGGCCGCTGTCTCAAGCTGACAGCTTCTAGGAGCCCCAGGTGAGAGAAGAGTGCAGATTGGGGACCAAAGGTGAACAAACTACCCCAAAAGACAAACTACCCCAAAAGGAGCACAATGTGTCCCCCTAACACACCACATACTCCATTAACACATTAATACATTTAGAGCAGTATAATTCCACTCTAAACAGTCATGGCTTCCCCCCAAAGAATGCTGAGAGCTGCAGTTTGTTCCGACTGCTGAGATTGCTATGACAGGCCCAGTTCCCTCCCAGAACTACATTTCCCAGAGTGGTTTTAACAGTCAATCCCTCTTCACAGGGAACTTACTGTCAATTAAGAAGGAAGTGGTAGAAGGGCTGGAGCACAATGGCAGAGCACTTGCCTTCCATGCAGAACTTCCCAGGTTCAATCCCTGGTGCTTTTCCAGGAAGGCCTAAGACTGCCCTGGACAGCAGCTGCTAGTTATGATAGACAATGCTGACTAGTAGTCTCTCAGATGGTGCAAATATAGAATCATAGAATTGTACAGATAGAAGGGACCCTGAGGGCCATATGGTCCAACCCCCTGCAATGCAGGAATCTTTTGTTCAATGTGGGGCTCAAACATAACAACCCTGAGATTAAGAGTCGGTGTGTCTGGCTGCTAACCAGAAGGTTGGTGGTTTGAGCCCAACCAGGGATGGCTCAATTCCTGCATTGCAAGAGGTTGAACTAGATGACCCTTGAGATTCCTTCCAGTTCTACAATTATGTGGTTCTATGGCCTGAGTTGTTATAAAGATGTTTTGTATGCTTATGTTTAAACCAGAACCATAAGGACTAGAATCTTCCATTATTTTTAAGCGAAAAACAGCACTTAGTGGTAGTGCATGTGCTTGGTATGCAGAAGACCCCAGGTTCAGACCCTGCATTTCCAAGTAGGACTGGGACTGGCTGCTACCAGTCAGTGTTGACAATACTGAGGCAGCCTGGACTAGGCATAAGATAGCTTCCTGTGTTTTTGTTATTGGATTGATGCTGGGTTTAAATGAACCCTGCCGGTTCACAAAGCTTAATAAGCTTAACTGTTTTAGGCTAGTCACAATGACCTCTCAGCCTAATCTGACTTACAGGGTTGTTGGGATGGTTCTTAAACAGGAAATTTAAAATGGCAGTTCATAGACAGCTGCCGATGCTACTGCAAAAGCCCATAGCTGGGCAAGTGGCCGGACCTCTAACTTGGAGAAGGGAGACTCTGCCAGGCCGTCCCTCACTCCCAGGGCCATGGAGAAGTGGAGCTTTGAGGATCCTATACTTGCTGCATTCAAGCATTCCTCCTTCAAAATAAATGGCATGGGTGAGGGGAGGGGGAGATTGGCCGGCCTCAAACCCAAGCTCCTTTCTTGGCTGCATGGCAACCCTGAAGCCAGGAAGAAGGGGGCCCATTTCGGTTTGATTTGTTGTGGTGGCAGAGCCACAAGATGAAATCGGAGAGATGAAAATCTGAGCAATTTCTTGCTTCTCTTCTCTCTGGACAGTAGATTAACACTATAAAGAAGGCAGAACAGTGGGAGCCCCCTGCCCTTTCATTGTCAAGGCCCCATTTCAAAGGCAGGGGGCTGGGATTCCTGATGTCCCTTTGTTTCCAGGGACTGGAAACTTTGTTCTCTGGAATGGCTTCTCCCCACCCCCCACCTCCTCAAACAATTGAGCTGAGCTGAATTTATTTTGGAAAGGAGAGAAACCCAAGTCTCTTGAATTAGGGGGTGCTGCAAGAAATATTTAGGAATGATGCATCAAATAAACGTAGGATGCATGTCCTGCTAGAGGACAAGAATCCCAAGACTACATTAAATGTAGCCAAATTCTGTGCGGCTGCAATTAGTCGCAGGAAGCAAGTGGTACCCCATGGTGACCAAACCCCCAAGTGTTGATAGCAGGGGGCATGCTAATAATTAATTTTAATTTTTTATATTTAAATGCTTGTTATACTTATATTGTCCTTTGTATTTTTTTATATATATTTTTTATGATCTGTGATGTTGTGTGTGTTGGCGCTGGTCTGTGACCGTATTAATAAATTCATTCATGCATGCCCTGTTGACGGCTACGCAAGCTACAGTGACTCCCCATATGTTTCAAGGCAGTGCTCAAAGTGCTGGTTTTGACCTATCAAAACAATAACCCTGAATTGCCAAAGCCAAAGCCAGAGATGTGGAACCTCAGGCCTGAGCCCAGGCTGCTGTGTCTGGACCTCAGGACTCTCCTCAGACCACAAAACTCTCAGTGACCCTGCTCCATGCCCTCACTGATGTGCTTCTGCCTGCCTGGAATCTTTGGCCCAACGTGAGGCTCGAACTTATGACTCTGGGATTAGAAGTCTCAGGCTCTACCAACTGAGCTATCCCAGATAGATATTGAGAAGATCCATTGTGGGAGGAGGGCGCACCGAACAGGGCTCACACAGGGTGCCATATTACTAGAGGTTACCCAAGTTGCCCCTGTTGCTTATACCAAAATGCTGCCTACATGACCATTACGGAATTTTCTGGGCACAACTGAGATTTTGAATTTGCTGGTGGGCGAAGAGGAGAAGTTGGTTGCTCCGCACTCCACCCCTCCAAAAAAACAGCCCTGAGAATTTGTATTCCCTTGGCATGAGTTTCCTCCATGTACAGCAGCACACATTCCGGAACTCCACCCAAGTGTCTAACAAATTAAAACCGGCGTGCCAATGCTAGCTTTCACATACAGGGGGCTACTGCATTTTATTAAAACTTTCCCTTCCTGATGCAAACAAGCACATGTATTCTCTCAGAGTGTACAGAACCATTTACTCTGAATCCAATTCTACTGAATCCAGCCAATGGCCCATCTAGCCTAGCATCCTGTTCTCTCAATGGCCAACCAGATGACCTAATGGGAAGCCACACACAGGACCTGAATACAAGAACACTCTCCACACTTGCAATATTTCCAACAACTGGTATTCAGGGGCAGACAGTCCCTGGCATGCAGGGGCACTTAAATTAATCTATAATAATACAAAATCATCACCAGTTATTACTTATAAGAGCACCTAACATGTGTTGGCACTGGAGTTGAGGAAATTGATGTCCTCCAGTTGGGCTACACCTCCTACTAACCTTAGCCCTACTTGCTGAGCGCTGGCAGAAGCTGGAAGGCTGTAGATTTCTCGGTCCTGTGCCAGGCACCATACAAAAATTGCAGGCTCAGGAACAAATAAAAGATAAGGAAGGGGATGTCATAAGGATTGCAGTATGTTAGGGTTAAGGATGTGTCCTCAATGAAAGAGAAGAATTGCTTGAGAACATACCATGCTATGTCCCACACACAGAGATTATTTTTAAGAACCCCCAAGAGTGTTGATTTTTCTCTCTCCCTCCCTTTTAAGGAAGCAAAGCTTACAGGAAAAAATTAAGAGATCTCTAATTTTAAATAACCTCTGACTATTTAATTTATGCCCTTTAGATTACAGCTGCCTTTAACAGTCTTCTGTACGTAAGGAAGTTTGGAAGAGCAGCTGGCTGTAATTAAAGCTGCAATTTGTCACTTTTGATTTCTTTATAAAGAAAACAACAACAATGTTGGTGCAGATGCCTTGTTGATGAACATATTATACTACTCCTTTAGTGGGGGATAAGATAGTCTCTGAATGCTGTACACTGATCTAGATTCAATTTATGTTTAAAGGAAACACATCATTAAAAGAAAACTGAAATGAAGGGGTGCTGGCATGTTTTGTGCTGGTTTTGAGAATTCTCATTGGAATTGGGAATTGTTTTGAACTGGGCACACCTCACTGGAGATCAGCTGGCTGTGGTTGAAAGGAGTTTAAATCCATGTTGGTGGGAGGGTGGGAATTCGAAACCAGCGGGGGTGGGGTTGGTTCCCTCCCATCTCTGCTTTAGGTTCAATATTGGGAAAGCTCCCACTGCTGTGCTTGACTAGGATTGACAGTTTCACACCTGCATGACCCATCTTCACTTGACAGAGCAGTCATTAGGTGAGGAGAATACCTTTAAAGACTTACAACTTCACTGGGACTTACATCTACATGCTAGGCTACATCCTGTCACCCCAGTCCTGTTGCTGGCATCTGTCTGTCTAGAGAGACGATGGAGTACGTCTCCAGAAGTGAACTTAAACTGTTGCATTTAAAGCACCAAAGTGAACTTAAACTGTTACATTTACAGCACCAAGCCTGGGCAGTGTATCTGGAAGTCCTGGACTGCCCAGACAACAAAAACCATCCCCTCTCAACCTTGTTGATGTTGTCTGAAAGAAAGCAGATCAATATGTTTGGAACCAGCTTGGCTGCAGGAGTTGCCAGAAGGAGGCATACGAAATGCCACCCAACCCTTTTAGGGGACTCCACTCTGGATTTATGTACGGTTTTCTCCTTAGCCTTTTCTTCTCCCAAATATATTCCACAAGGCAGCGGAGGTTTAGGATCAGGGTTTTCCTTCTCCTGGATGGGCTCCCTTCCCAGGATGACGAGCCCCATCTGCCCCTGACTTCCCACTACAGCATGTGCAGTAAGCGCCTTATTGACTCTTTGACCCACGATTGGTCTTGTCTGTTCAATCCACCAAAGCCTGTCTTCACATGCAGGGGAAGTCACTAACTCATCAAGGTTTTGAGACCCTTCATGTGAAGACAGGTAAGAGCTGAATGCTGGGTGGAGATCAAAGGTGCAGAAACGACCACAGAAGGAACAAGATGTGTCCCACAGCAGAAGTACTATCCTTCCCAGAACATGCCATGCACCCACAGGACAGCAAACATAGCGCAAAGCTCTGAAGAGACTGTAGCATGCATGATCTTGCCAGTCGCCTCACTAAACAGATCATTTTTTCTCTCTCCTCTGTTTCTTTTATTTTAGGTAACCTTGAAAGAGACACCTAAAACTGAAATCCGTAATGCCACGACACTACCTTACTCTGTGAAATTTGCTCCTTTCCACCATGTTCGGAGTTGTTTTCAGGGCGTTGTGTGCACTTTCCAACTGGGTATTGTTCAAAAATTACAAACATCTTTCCAAACCACAGAAAACAGTGTCTGCAAGCTATAAAAACGGTTTTAAAGAAATCTGTATATTTTAACCTACCTCCATAACTAAAACCAAAACTCAACTGGAGTCTTTGAGGCAGCTGTTTGAAATATGTAATGAATAAATATTCAGATTTTAAAGTGTAATGATAAAAAGCAGCTATGGAGGCTGTGTTGATCTGACACTTGATGGCATGTTTCTTGGGCTATGAGTGAAGCACAATGGATTTCTGAGGGCTAAACCAACAAAAATGTGTTTTTTAAAAAATGTGAAACCACAAAAAACTTACGAGATTAATTTATCCCATATATGCCCACTTGACTACTTTAGTGTGAGGAACTGGTACTGTTATGGGTGCCCAAGCATGCAGAATGTTGACATGTGTGTTAAGGTGGTTTTTAGCTTCTACTCAATTTTAATTCTTTTTTACTGTTTTAGGCAGCCGCTTTTAACCATTTTTACTGATAATTTTAGTGTATGTGTTTTCAGCTTCTCTGAGGTTTTATTACAATCACGCAGTATATAAATTTTGTGAAATAAATAAATTAAAAATGCCCCTTTGAACTGCAAATATTGTGTATTTGTGGGGCAGATACCATATTGACTCAAATGCAACGTGCAGGGTTTTTTGGCCAAATTACGTTGCGAAAATTAGGATGCACATTATATTCAATAGCACCAGCAAATACTGTTTTTTGTTTCAGTTCTGAAAACTGAAGTGTGCATTTCATTTGGTGGCGCATTCAATTCGCGTAAATATGGTAAGTGCTGACCTTAGAGATAAGCTCTGTGTTTAAAGCTGTTATCGGGTCCTTTCAATGGGGAAAACTAAAAACACTGGGTGATATCCTATATATCACTCCCAGTCATTAATTTCAACGGGTCTACTATGTGTATGATTTAGGCTGTGTACATATTACCTCTTCCTCCAGTACCGGCGCACTGCCACCACTGGTGTCTGAAGTTAGCTGCAGTCCATCGGTATCTTGTAGCTCCTTGAGAAATACTCCTGTTTCATGTCCTTTCCCTCAGACTGGCTTCCATTTGATTTGAAAATGGAAACCACGGTTAAGCTGAGGTGTGTACATTTCAGACAACCATTGCACATGCTCAGATGACTTCTTCATTGAATCGCAGTTCAACATGGGGAAACAAATCAAGTAATGACATTGGGGAAAGACATCCCTACTCCATCTCTTGTATGTACAGCAATGTAAGAATGTGACTTGAAATGGCATAGCGGGGAATGGCGTCCCTGTGCTTCAAGCTGCTTATGTGTGGTTGGCTACCGCTCAGTATCAGAGTAGGGCTGCCATATGTCCAGGATTTCCTGGACATATCTGGGATTCTTCTGGTCAGAATTTTGTAAAATTGGTGAAAATGTCTGGGGAAACCCAGGCATAGGGCAACCCCTGTCCTTAAAAACTACTTCTTCCTCTCCTTCCCCTTCTCCTCTTTTTTTTTGGGGGGGGGGGGGAGCTCAACAACATTTATGTCTGGATTTTCACTTTCTGAAATATGGCAACCCTAGACTAGACCCACTGAAATAAAGTTAGTTGTGTCTATTAATTTTAATGGGTTTGCTTTGAGTACGACTAACACTCTTAAAGAGTTATCATTATAGACATAACTATGTTTCTTTCCATATGTGTAATCAATTAATCCATACATGATATGTATCAAGAGACTGGTGCTAATTAGGCAATCAATTTGAAAATGGGGCCATAGCTGTAAATTATCCAGAATCAATTCATCTTCATATTTCCTCATTCAGCTCAAGCCCATGTTAAAACAGCAAACTGTAGAATTGAATAAAATCCACTAAGGATAGGTAAAAATTCAATGTCACCCAAGATTACAAATTCAATTATTATTATTTAAAATGTATTTTTATTAAAGATTTTCTTGATTTACAAAGGTATGTGCAGTGTCTCTTGTATTTTTTCCCCCATGTAACTTTTTTATTTTTTTTACAAATCGGTTTCATTTGTTGAGACATTAGGAAGAATAGGGGGAAAGATGAGTGGGGGTGGGGTCAGGTGTGATGTTTCTATTTTACTTAATATATATGGGGTTTGGTGTCAGCGTTGCTTGTGCAGGTTCTCTGCTGTTCACTTGTGTTCCTTTGGTGGTGAGAGAGGTTAGGGTTGGCCTAGGGTGTGGTTGTTTGTTTGTGATTGGCTGTGGTAGTTTTTGTTTTCATGTGAGTGAGGTGGGTGGGTGTTTTGGATATGGTTGGCCATATTGATTTGTATGCTGTTGGTGTCATTGTCTTGTTGGGCTGTGTATGTGATAAAGAGGAGCCATACCGGGGTGAAGGCGTCTTCTTCTATTT